ACAACAAGGGAAGCAGTAGCCAGCCGCAACCAGCAGCACAGCAGCAACCAGCCGCCGCCCGCCAGCAGCACAGCAGCAGCCAGCCGCAGACAGCAGCAGCCAGCCGCGACAACACTCAGCAGCAGCCAGCCGCCGGACGTGCAGCAGTCAGCAGTCAGCCAGCCGCCGGACGAATTAAACAGGCCCATTAAAAAACCGAACCGAATTAATAAAAACCGAACCGAAATATTTCGGTTCGGTATTCGGTACGCAATTTATAAAAACCGAAAACCGAAAAAACCAAAAAAAAAACCGAACCGAACCGAAAAACCGAATGCCCACCCCTATGTTTTTGAGTTGTTGTACGCTGCTTGTTGCAATGTGTAATGAATATCGTTTTGTAATTGAAATAAGAGAAAATTTGGGCCTAATTTGTTGGTTATTAAGAGAATGGAATTAGGCTATGCAAAATTATTAAGTTGGGCTGCTGGGAATTGTGAAAAAGGGCCCAAGGTTTGTTTTGCAAATGGGTTTAAGTAGATCATTAATAACTGAATAATATAAATTAATTAATGATCTTATTAATCTTAACAATATAAAATAATTATTTCATTATATATTAATTAGCCTAAAAATATAAATTAATATTTAAACCATGCAAGTTGTCTAAATATTTTAGTAAAACTAAAATTATTTTGAGACGATTTTTGAATAATCATAAATATACTAATTATATACATAAATATGTAATATATATATATATATATATTATCAAAAAATTATTAAAAGTAACATAACTATTTAAAAATAAAGTTGAAAAGTATTTTGAATTTTATATAACTAATGATTCTAACGTTTGAGAATCAAGAAGCTCTATCATTAATTTATATTGTGCAGGGTCAAAATTAGGTGTCAACAATAGATTTTGAGTTTAGTTTTGTTGAGATAAATGTTTTACTCTTGAAATTTTAAAATGATTCTCTAATCTTAGATTCAAAGAAGTTCATCGCTTAGATTCTGCCTGGAGGTTCTTTCTTTTTTGTTCATTTTTGAATTAAGGTGTGTTATATCACTACTTTCAAGCTCGTCGCCCCAGTCGTTTCTCTGAATATAGTATACTTTTGTATCTTATTTATTTTCTTTACTATTCTGACCATAATTTGTTGCTTAGTATAAATTATTCGATTTAATACCTCCTTTGATAGTTTTTTAATCTTCTACTTTTAATAAGAGAATAATTACATGTCTTTATTCTGTTTTCTAATTAGTACCCACTAGGAAATGGATTTCTCATTCTCATTGAGATATTAGACTTTTGTTCCCGAGCATAACTAGTATGTGTATACATTGAATTTTTTAAATTTTGTATGAAGCTATTGTTACTCATATAGTGTTGATTCTCTAGCCTTGTGGTGACCTTTTTTTTTTGGAAATTCTTTATTTACTTCAGTCTATCCTTGCTCTTCACGACTTCTCTATAGGTTTGGTTTAAATGCTTTCAATATTACAATCTTATTAGAGAATGATAATTTTTTGTGGTACTAAGGTTCTTTTCTTCGTTTGTCTTGTTGTCTTAAGATTACAATTTTGTTTTTGCATGGAATATCATATCTCGACTTAGATCCATGGGTTGTATACTGTATTTTTAATAATTGATAATATGATTTTCTCATTCGGGATAGGCATCTGAATTTAACCTTTCGGGATGCTGCTTTAAATCTTATTCTTTAGTTGTCATTTTGGTGCTCAATGTGTGTTAATATTGAAATCATTGTGTGACGATTTTCAAAGATACTAATCTGTTTTATTCCTCTGTTAATTACTTCATATTTATCAACTGTTAATTTTTGTTTAAATGGTCCTTATCTGATCATCGGTCGTCCTAAAGGTATCCTTTGATGGACATTCTTTATTCATTTTGAAAGTATATATTTGTCATGAAATATTCTTAGTTCTTGTTGGCTTCATGTTATAATTTTGACTTCCTTATGATTAATTTCAAATGTCATGACAGTAGCTCTGTGATCTTTAACACTAATGTGTTTGTTCGTTAAATTATGGTGAAAGGCAAATTGTTTTTGGTCATTTACTTATCTTCGGCTCCTTTGGTTTTTATGCATGAATACTCTTCTCGAGTCTCTTGAACTCCTCCTTTATAATTTTCTTCATCAAGTCAGCGCCTCTACCTATATATTTGAAACATGTTTCAAGTTCGAGAGATCCCACATGCTACTGGAAATTAGTTCAAAATCCCAAGAAATGGGGTGTATAAATGTTGTAAACAACGTTTAATACACTGATGTACATGTTGAGGTACTAAAATATAGATCCAAAATGTGGATATACAAATTGAATATGAAAATACAAGCCTCGGGAGTTTAATAACAGAGCTATATACACTGATATACAGATATTGTAAGGTCTATATACAAAAACCAGAAAAGGGCCAAATAGCCCTAAGAAATTTAGGCAACTTGGGTCAAAGCTCTGATTTTTGGGTATCCTTTACAACATTGCAGGACAGCGAAATGGGGCAAAAGCCCAAGATTAAAAAGGCCCAAATCTTCCTCTTTCACTCTCTATAATTGAACTTATTAATTCTTCTTACCCTTAGTTGTTTATTTTCTAATTAATTTTAGGGTTTACTTAATTGAATTTCCCAAAAATGAACGATGTCCTTTTATGATGGTACATTTTAACTCTTCTTTGACCAACTCTCGGACTTTCATTTAACATCTTTAGTCAAAACTTTTTTTAATTAATTAAAATAGTTTCACGGTTAAATTAACCAATTTAGTTCAAATTATTATTTAAAATGATTCAAAAAAATAATTCTAACTAATCCAGTTTTGTTGAAGTCTTAATTATTTGCAATTTAATTATATTATTTCAATTAATGTCCTCTTTTCTCAAAAAAAAATTGTTCATGTTTATCTATTTTGTCAAGTTAAGTCATTTTCCTAAAAATAGTAAAAATATTTAATCTGTCGTAGGACAACCGCAAGTTAGTGATGCTCTAAATGTCTTAAAAACCTTCACATACCTATTTCTAAATTTATAAGACTTAATGTGTTGGAGTCTTTTTAAATTAAATTTTGTTTATTTTTTTTAAAAAAATAGGCAGCGACTCCTTTCTAAGTATTTTTCTTAAATTGTGTTATACTTGGAACATTTCAAAAATTAATTTTTCCAAAGATAGTATAATTACGGCATAACATATATAAAGAAGTTTCCCCAAAGATAGTAGGTGTTTATGCCCTCACATGAGTATGTGGGTCTGCCTCTAAATAATTCTTGTTCTTATTCCTTTTTAAAAAAATATTAAAAAAATTGTAACAACTTTTGGATCATTAACAATAATTAAAATAATAATTTTTTAAAATTTTTTTAGTAATTTTTTCCGTAAAAACTAGGTAATGATAAAAAAATATTATTTGAAAAGATGGTCAAATATAAAATAAAATTAGAATTTTTATCATAAAATCATAATTAGTAATCTAGTCTGGTAAAAAATCACATTTGTCAAGTAAATAACTTTTAAGTTATCCAAATATTCTCCCACACTAAACACAACCTGTTACAAATGAAGTGAAGTTACAATAAGGTTAAGATGATCATTTTCTTTTATTTGTTTTCTTCAAAATCAATTAAATTTTTTGTTTTTTTTTTCTTATTATTAGTGAATTTATTTGTATCATGTTCCTTCTTTTTCTTTTTTATCTCGTTTGTATCAACTTCAGATTCTTCTTTCTAACTTCCTTATCCTCCTCTAGTTTGTATCGCTCAGTGTAGTTTACAGGGATGTCGATAGCTTCGATCGGTTTGTGGGCTCTGATGATAACCCATGAGAAACTGATTCATTTTTAGTTACATTTAATGGTAAAAAGGTGGACGTAATTATTCCATTCTGGCAGACATCAGGTATAAGAGGCAACGATGATGTCTATGATATAACAGTGAGGGTTGAGGTTCCTATGCCAAGGAACTGGTTGTATTCCATGGATAGATTGGTTGATCATTCTCAGTTGTTTGATCAAAACAATTAGAATTTGAAGGATAATGGGATTTGGGTGATGTTTATGGTGTTTAAGAATGGATCATGGATGGAAATTTGGGAAAACTGCCACGATTGTGTTGGTTTCATATTTTGTGAGTGATGAGGTTATAGTTGAAATGGATAGAACGGTGTAATTTGATTTTTGATTTTTATCAATGATAGTTATCAATTTGGAAAGTGGGAATGAAGCTGCCCATTACTTGGGCTAACGTTGATGATACGGATTTCTACACTAAAGTCTTCATTGAAGGTTTAGAAAATCTCGTTAAAAATGAGGTAAA